GCAGGAAGACGGCCCTTTTAAAGACTAGAAAGCTCTGACCATATTTAGTTGATAGTGATTAATTAACAGTTAGAGCGGTTTTCACTTGACTGTCGAAAGTAATTGGTTTTGGTTTTGGTTTTGGTTTTACTACGCCCTTTGGTTGGCTAGTGTATTTACTTTGGTTTTGGTTTTACGACAGTCAAGTGAAAACCGCTTTAATGAATGAGGCTGAGTATCTTATGAAGAATTATAGAGATCGACGGCCGAGGCGGATAACACCCTCCGAGATCTCCATAATTCTTCATATGATGCGAAAGCCGAATTCAATAACTGTTTTATTATTCATTCAAAATAATTCCAAGTTTAAAAACATAGCTAAAACATGTTTCCTCCATCGATCCATCGATGTTCAGTTCATCTTCGATAGTGTAAGTTTGTCCAGCTCCGCAAATATTCTCCAAATAGCAGATGTCGCCCTTCGAGTTGTCTTCTTGCTGTTCTTGCCGTGTTTTTAGCTATTTTTTCGCCTAGTTCTTACTCTTGAAACGAGTGAAATGTCCGCCATTTTTTTAAGTTCACAACCAAAACAACTCAACCTCGTCCCCAGGTCTTCTCGGTTAATGGTGCCTTAACCAGCGAAAACGCTGCATTTTTGACGTCATTTCCTCGTTAAAGTCAAAATTCCTCCAAATTTGGTCATCAGTAACTGGTTATGGTGAATTAAATATGTGCTTTTAGCCAATCAGAATTGGGGAAATATTTTGAATGAATAATAATGGTAATTAAACTGAGCAGACGGAGTGGAATTTTGTCTGATATCATACCTGTGATTTTAGAACAGATTTTGCACGATATGAGGTTCTATTACCACTTCAGTTCATCCATCCATAATTATAGGATCAATATTATCACTCCTTGAAAATTACTGTGTATAGGGTAGGAATATGATCTCAAACGACGGGCGCACTTCTGAAAGCACTGTCGAACACAAGACGAAATTTGTCATTTTTGTGTATAAAGCTTTTTTATGTTCCAGAAACATCTAAATTCACTTAATAGTGCGAACTGATTAGATAAAATATCTTTTCATAAACAAGTCTTAGTATGGGGAGATTTTACAAGTAAAATTGTCAATGAACAGTTCTCTGGTAAACTGTCTGTCTAACTCTTGAGTATGTGGATAAAATCTTATGATGTAACCATTTAAAGGGAAGCTACTTTCCTGTGGTACTGTTGATTAATCTGTACAAGGTGGTTCTAATCTAGCCTTCCAGGTCTGTGGATGAAATCCTAATACTTGTCAATACTTTTGTTTCCGTCAGTCTGGACCAAGGAAGTAGAAAACATTCCTGGTGATGGGATTTTTTTTAACGTGCCATTTAGTACAACATGCATACTATACGGTATAAGTGATTCTTCCTTTCGAGTTATTGAACAATAATTCAGTTGTTTAATCTAAGCCTGCTTTACTCGATTGCATTGTGTATATATGTATTGTAATGGAGAGCTAATGTAAACACGACGCCTAAAGTCGTTTCCGTGGGATGCGTTGGTCTATGGAAGCATAATGGCGTTCTATCTGAATTTGGAAAAATTAGGGAAACCGGAAAGATGTGTCATGTGATGAGCATCGATAAGTAGGTTACCTGTATAGGTTGGTTTAATGTGCTTATGGCAGGGAACTATTTCTCCCCAATCTACATCCCCTTTTTGCTTCCTCCCTATCCCAAACCCGTTTCGACACCTGCTAAGCGAGCTAAATTTAAAGTTGTCAGTGGTCGCAAGGATGGAGTTGATCTTGATTTGATCTATCGCTATGTAGTTATTTTCGTAGCACGATTTGGATAAGAAAAAGTAGTTATTTTGCATCAAAACAAGGTTTACCCGTGTAACTTAAATTGGAATGTTAACGGAAACAAGTAATGGAGAACATGCGCATAATGCTCTCTGATTATTAAACCTGAACAGGAACTATATGAATAAAGATACGTCATATCCTGGTAGTAAGTTGCCACAGGTAACTTTTTCAAAAAGAAATTAACATTGTAGTTTTAGGTTAATGGAACAAAGAAAAACAAAACATCCGCTTGCTTTATCCAGGGTCGAACCCTGGGTTACAAAGTTCGATAAAGTTCCGATGTTTTAATCCAAGATGAAAGTTTAATATTCCAAGATGCTCTTGATATGGTTAAAAATTAATTGCAATGTTTTTCCAAGGTCTCAAAGTTAACATAGTTCCAATGATTATCCCTGATTCCGAGCTATAATAATTTTACTAAGGTCCTGATCCGTGTCCCATCCAGAAGTCCAATCCATGCAGAAAGCGAGTCGTCGATCGACGAGGGCAATATTTTCGCTATTTCGCCGCCAATCGTCTAGGGTACGAGTTGAAATTTACGCGATTTAACCTCCCATCTTCAAGGTGTTTTCGATAAGAAAAGAAAAAAACTGAACTCTACTGTGCTCGGCAAAAACTGGCGAACTACGAATAGAAAAATCTATTGGAAACCACGGCCCGCAACCGGACGCTACTAAAACCTTATGAAAAAGCTAGACCTAAACAAAAAAGAATCATGAAGGGAAGAAATAATTTGGCTTAGGTCGCCTTTCGTGACTTGCCAGTATACCAAAGGATTTCGCTGGTTAAGAAGCCATCCTAAACCACGAGTGGGAAAACTCAAGGGCGACAAATTTGGCAATTCAACGCTCTTCAGAGGAAGCAAATGGATTAAAAATCGATACAGATTTTGTACAATCTGACTGGTCGGCTTGGAAGCATCCTCGGAGACCCAGGGGCAGATAGTGGGGACGAGGGAAAGTCTAAACGGGCGGAAACTATACATGGAACGAAGAAAAGTAGTTTAGACTTTCCCTCGCCCCCTTTATCTGCCCCTGGGTCTCCGAGGATGGCTTGCAAGAAGAGATTATCGATAAAGATTTTAGGCAATCCTATTGGCTAGCTTTGCAATTTGTTCGTACAATGAAACGTTCTGAGACGTTCTTCAGAGGAAGCAAGTCGATCAAAAATCGATAAGGGTTTTGTACAATCCCATTGGTCGACTTGGAAGAAGAAATAATCGATAAAGATTTTAGGCAATCCTATTGGCTGGCTTTGCAATTTTGGGTACAACCGAAGCGGATTTTTACCGTGGGAGTGCCACAGGCATCCCACGGAATAACAAGCTTCTGGAGTTTTACAGTTACGCGATGCCTGTACTGGAACTTTCTATCGTCACGCAATAGAACTGTCTAGAATGATGAAACTCACGATGTAATGTCACAAGAATAGTAGTCTTGCAAGCTCTTAGAACTATCTAGAATATGAAATGACTGTATATAAGGGCTTAGCGAGCTTTGAGTTAGTTGTTGTTGTTACGACAGAGATTGATAGGAGAGCTATGCTGGGAAAGCCATAGCAGTTTGCTGCGGAGTATTTTGAAGTTAAGGCATCTCAAGTGGCTCCAGGACGTTTGGTGATAGCGGTGTCTACTGTGAGTTTGTGTCAGTGCAACTGAAGGTTAATAATAGGCTCTAAGTAGTTTATAGTAAGGTTGTATTGTGTGAGAGTCGCTCCCAAGTTGTAGTTATCACTTGAAGTATAGTTAATTAAATTAGTTGACGTTAAGGAGTCTTTTTTGTATTTTTCTGTCGGTTGAATTATACCGTAACAATATCAATGATCTGTGAAACTGGTCTCTGGAGTAAAAATCGTCATGAGCTGGGACTTTTTTGGAGCCGCTACAATAATGAAAATCACCTAACATTCACGTTTCAAAGAATTTATTGTAATAAATAATGGAAAGACCTTAATTACAATTATGCACTACCCTATGTAAAAGCTTAACAGATAAAAACAAACTATTACATCAAAATTAATTCGATACTAGTCAAACGTTGCATAAGTATTCAATTATATTTTTTATCGGGATACTATTTAACAGAACTAAAATCCGATTGCATATTTTTTCTGCTTTTCGTGCAATAATTACTCATCTAAAAATCAACTGTAAATAGTATAAACAAACAATCTACATACAAGCTGTAAAAAAGCTAAGAATTCGACTAATCATATACTGATTTACACAATGATTATTACATTACCTAAAATATGAACAAGGTTCAAAACTAAAGCACCAACATTTCCAAAGCTTCCTTATTTATTAAAAGTTAGTGCTTTGTGAAAAATTGCTGACTTGCATAGACAACACGTTATCGAAGAGTTAATTATGATAATATCTTATGATTTTTTGCACCCTGTAGTGAGCATTTTGCTCGTTCTTATGTACGACCTATATACATGCACAACGTGGTAATTATACTTACAGTTCTCGACATTGTTTCTTAATTTTTTACAACATTTTCCAGTTTTTTTTGTACAACTTGTTCTTGCTTACTCACTGTAGCAAGTGTGGTTCGACTAAACTATTTACATTTTGTAAGTCACATAACTTACTTGTGTTGTTTTTGCAAAACAAACTTGAGCTACGATTTTTATTGACACGTGGATTAAGACTAAATTTTGTTTAACTCTTTTTCTTCAAGATTAAAATCTCTTTGCTAAAAACCTAACCCCCATAGGGAGCAATAAAATATTGTAAACGTATACATAGTATACACTTTTTAAACCACTGTACCTTTTTTCACAAAAAAAAGGTACAGAAAAGAACGTCAGGCTTTTTTTTCTTTTTTTGACACGCCTGAAAACTGTTAAGAATACATGATACATGTATTTCTTGCTCGAGAGCAGCTTTTCAATGAGTTCCACTATACTTGAGCTGTTTTGACATTTTGTGATTAGATATGTTAAAATTTCTAATGAGAAGTTATTGTCTCAAAACATTTTAAAAATCAGATATGCAATTTTTTTTATAATTATAATGATTGTAGATAACAAGGAAAGGAAAAGAAAAGTGTTCAGTGATTTCGACTAATCACAGTCTGATTTACAAATTTGGAAAGCCATTGAAAAACCGCTCTCAGCATCCGGGAAAATGTTTGGTTACTTGATACAAGTTAACTTATAACGCTTCATAGAAGCTACTCTTGACATCAGTTTCAGGGAACCACGTGAAATCTGATTGGGCACTGGGGACAACTTGAGGGGTTAGGAAATCGACTGGAAAACCAATCGCTTGATTGGAAACAGGAACGAAGACTGGGTCGGGAACAGGAACACCACACCGTGGATCCTCGAATAATGAGTCGAGAACAGGAAGCCCACCATACCATGGAGTAGGAAGAGGAGTGCTATATGTTGGAGGCATCGGACACACTGGTTGAAAGAAACACTCTGGGCCAACTGGAACGCCATTCTTTATACTTAAATCAGGGAAGTTATTGTCTAGTAAAGATTCAGCTAAAAGAACGTCGGGAACAGCCGTCGTCTCGGGAACATCGACTGGGTCTGGAACAGTCACACCACTACTCTGGCCAAGCACAGGTAGCCCACTTTTCGAAGGTGCAACTGCGGGGATTCCATCAGAGGGATCGTAACCGAGGATTTCAGAAATGTCCCAAACAAACTGGTAGGTATTTTCTCGACCAGGAACCTTCTCCAACATTGACTTGCCGTAATAATATCGCAAGCCACGAGCGAGTTTCTCAAAGTTCATGGCTGGCTTCTTTTTTACTTTCCCCCACAACTCTGCCAGCTTTTTTGGCTGGAGAATTCTGAAGCCATATTTCTGCTCTCTTGTCCATTCAACAAGGCCTGATTCAAGCTCAGAACTGGGAGGTGATACGAGAAGCTTAAGAATCAGCTGCCATAGCTGCATTGGACCATTACCTAAGAAAATATAAAAAAATAAAAGATATATAAGCCTATCACTTCAAAATAATTATTTATGAGATGTTCTCTGTAGATTCAAATTTTTAAGTCTGAGATTGAAATCCTATGGTGATGGTGAGACAATTCAGCTAAAACATCTTAGTTTGACCCAACTGCATGTCGTTTTGCAAACTTTTATTTGCTTTCAGTTTTTAGCGAAACGAAATTTGGATATTTTTCTTGAGTCTGATAATAAGGCACTTCAGGCAGACGTTACTAGAGTTACAATGTGAAGTCAAACATTTTACGGAAAAGAGGGCAAATTTTTGTCTGCTTCCTAATAACTTATTTGTCAATTTAATCACTGTATGAAGTCGCATTTCTTGAAATTAATTTTGTAACGTACCTTCATACATAATTCTGGGCTTGGGACCTCGGTTTCGTTTCTTCTTTGGCTTGGGATTAGATTCATCCACCGTACTTGTTGCTGCTGGAAAAAAAAACAAAAACAAAAAAACATGAGCGTTTCAAACGGTTTAAAACGAGTCTCAGCTAAAGCTTCGGACAAACGTCTCTTCAAAAGCAAAAGTTAACACATGTAATTAAAGGGGGGAAATATTTTCATTCTGGAAAAAAATAATAAATTTTTCGCGAAAAGAACTCTATCTCGGTTTAATGGCAAATTTTCTGAAGAACTCACCTCTTTTGGGGCTTTTTTTCTTGCTTCCAAGCCGAACTTCTCTCGCGGAGAACTCTTGATTATAGTCCACAGAGGAACTTGGAGATCCTGAAGCACTGCTCATGCTTTCAAAGCCTTCTGAAGAAAAAGACAACATGTTTAGAATCATATTTTGGGTCTATTTTCCATTGTTGTCTTCACGTACGTAGGTCACTACACGAAGGAATGATGATTATCTAAGTTCTTTCGGTCGCTGTTAGTTATGATTTGGTTTTTGTAGATCTGAAACTTGAAACGCGAGGAACTATTCTTATGTAAAATTTGTTGAACCAATTGTTTATTATTCGATGTCATGACTCGTCGTGAAAGGACATCATGACAAATAATTCGACACGTTCCACTAAGATTGATAACTCAGACACTCACTTTAGGATTTCACACTGGTAAGTTTACCTTCAATGACTCGTGTACTTTGCTGTAGTACTGTTTATTAAGCTGTACAAGGTGGTTCTAACTATTGAGTCTGTGGATGAAATCCTGAAGTGTGACCATTCAAATGAAAGCTACTGAGCAGTACTTTCCTGTGGTACTGTTTATTAAGCTGTGCAAGGTGATTTTAACTAATGAGTCTGTGGATGAAATCCTAAAGTGTGTAAAGGTGTCTGTGGATGAAATCCTAAAGTGTGGCCGTACTTTCATGCGGTACTGTTTATTAAGCTATTTAAAATGCTTAGAAGAGTGATTTTCTTACCATTGAGGTCATCATAGACGTTGTCAATGAAGCCATTGTCCAGTCCTGGAGATGGCGGGGAAGACATGTAAGCCGAATCAATTGATGACATTGATTCCGCCGGCGATGTCGTCCGTCTTTGCCAAGTCAACTGAGATGTAACCTTAACACGACTTGAGACGTCTGTAGAAAATGAAAACATGGTCGAAATTATTTCGTTATTCAGCTATACAAATTCAATTGGTTTTCTTTCTTTGGGTTAAAAGTTATTGCACACTTTTATTATATCTATTTCTATACAAGGGTATTTCCGCGTGATGTATTTTTTTCCCGAAAAAGGATGCTTTGACAATAAAAAATTCCCCTCTTTCATTTTCCACAACCTTGATATCCTAAAATAATTTCATTTAGTGTTTTCGTTTTGCCCTGAATTTCGCTCCCTCCATAACTAAAACTTAACAGACGATAAGCGTAAATAGACCACTTTTGTAAGGTTGAAATGTTGAAAGATTAATTTTTAAACCTTTCACTGAAAGATTAATATTCATAATTAGTTTTTGGAGCATTGCGAAATACCGAATAGTTTTAATTGATACCGCGGACGTCACGTATCATGAAGTATTTTTAGTCATGACTCATCGCCTAAAAATATCTTTAGCACAGATCCAATGGATACAATGTTTACACCCTAAAAATTTAAGTACAGGGTTTTTTCAAACTTTTACTGCTGACTCTAAACTCTAAGCTATTATCTTTTTTAAGCATAAAATAGTACGACATATAGAAACATATCTTAGCTTAAAAGTTTTAAAAAAAGTTCGCGGAGTGAAAGAATAACAAACTGAAACATTATTTGTTTCTTTGAAGGAATCAGTAGTTACGGAAAGGAAACTTTTACACAATAAACATCAAATTTTACACCGTACCGTGTTCCGAGTTGTGACCAATGGTTAACGCTTCGCTTGCCGTCATCGTCGGTGAAAATATTCTACTGAACTGAGTGTGTATTGCTTGACACTCCTTGTTAGTATTTAGCGTCTGGCATAATGCTTTACGTCGATGGTACTGAGCGAAGTCCACGATTCCTTTCAGGTAGTCATGAATCTAAATAGAAATAACAAAATTAATAGAATAAAGTCAGTGTCTTTGCTGGGGCCTCGACAACTCTTGTAAGAGACCAGACGGGCACCTGAGGTACCCAGGGGCGACCACCATGAAAAGATACCGATTGAAGCAATTTTCAGTTAACATTTTATGCTTTCCCGATTGATGATGGCTTGATGAACAGCAATCGTCTCGGAGGAGTTATCCGCGCAAGATCCAACTCATATTCCATGTCTTCCATGGCAGAGAACAGACGAAAAATAATCGTAACAGCGCAAACTTTTTTCTAGTGGCTGTTATTTACTACCAGATGTAGTCTACACAATTATTGGAACTCCTTGTAGGCTTATTATTTGAGTTTTCCGGCTACTAGAACCGTGGAAAATCATGTCAATAAAAGCAGTTCATATCAAGAAACAAATGCAACGTTTGGTAGGATCTGGGTTTAACAATATACCGCCAACGCTTGCCTCAATTAGACAGGGTTTTATAGACTACACTGGGGCTTCGCTCCGAATATTATTGTGATAACTAGGTTGTCAATAATACTTTAGCTGGTTGCTGGTTCAAAAAAAGAGTTGGCCGATTCTCAGATAATGTGACTATCATGATGTTTCAGAGGATCGAAAAGCGACGAAGTAAAATGTAATGTAAGCGGTAGAAATGTGAAGATCACTTACATTAGCTATTTCTAGCTGAACCGATGTTGTTCGATTATTTGGGGACGCCATCCATGTAAAGTCTTCTGTAATCACAAACTTTCTCACAAAAGTCTTTCCTGCTTGTGTTGTTCTCGATCGCTGCTAGTCGGTTTTGACCTGCTTTTAGGTCTGTTCGCGTGATTAATACAAATTGAAATGAGGCTTTCAAAGAATTCAACTTCTTAAATGACCAATTATTCCGAATGACGTCAATCGTTCTGACGTAAAGTGAAATGTCGTGACCTTCACTCCACAGTGACGGGACGGTGGTCTGAAAAAAAATAATTCAAAATTTCAAATACAAAAGATTGCTTAAGCCTGAAAAATGTTTTACGTTGTTTATGTTTATGTTCCCTGGGGGAGACATTATGTTCTGTTCTGGTCTATTCGCTTGGATGAAGGCAATTTTCAATCTGAATGTTGCTTTGACGTAGATCCGCGGGTCTTGAAATAGTACACTGTTTAACTATTAATTGCAGACTAACTCCAGATTCTTCGCTTTGTTACACTCAATGTAGTGCTACATTTTAAAAATTTTCAGCCTATCTAAGATTACAATTGATCATTAGTTTACCATCGGGCAAGCTTTTTGTGTCTTTTGATCGCAGTGGGAAATGTCTTAAAACACCTCCTTGAAGTTAAACTGTGCAATTTCACAAATAAGTCAAGCCTATTATTTTATGGAAATTCCAATTTCATCTAAATTTTTGTTGATTTACGAAAACAAGCGTGCTAATTTTGTGATGCAAATGAATTAAATGACGCAGCAAAGTAACAGTAAGATCAATGGCTTATTTCAAAGTCTTGCAGCAGACCTACTTTGCAATTTTTGCAATGATTTCGCCTATTTTCAATGTTAGGCACTTTTGCTTTTAGGCTCTGTGAATGTTTGGCTGGGCAATAGTTCTCTCCTGACAAAAGCCTCGATTCAGCGGCCTGACAAAAGGCTTTGATGGTTTCTTTGTTTAGGTTCTATGACCTTTCTTGTGGCTTATTTCCAAGGTTGGATTAACGACAAAGCTTAAAAAACCAATCAGTGTTAACGGGAGTCGATTATGGGACATAATTCAAGGAGCAAGACAAGGTAAGGTTGGGTGGGGTGGGTGGGGTGGGTGGGGTGGGGTGTACTGATCCACATCACCCCTGTCAAATTGTATTTTTCAGTAGGGTCGCTCCTTCAGTACTTCCAACCGAAAAATTTCTTCACTACCCTTTAAAGATTATACAATATCGTTGAGCCTTAATTAAGAAATAACAGTCGAAAGTTTTATTCATCTACATTTAAACCGTGACCACCCTTCAAGGGAATTCCATCCTGAGTACAGAGTCCCTCAGGCAATTTCACGTCGTTTATTAAAAAAAAAAAAATTCATTGTGGCACTTTAAATTCCTCGTGGTTGAGGGTTTTTCATTCTCTGGTTTCAATGTGATCCACATATCGTATTAGAACTGCCTTTTAACTTCAACTCAACTCAACATTCTGTCACGCATAACAAATATTATCTCTCGATTTTTGTAGATCACACAGATCCTAATCTTTAAAAGAGGGGGTCTGTTTGATTGACAGCTTGGATATGTTAATGTGCCATCGCTTGGTCGGTGGGTCGATTGGAACGTTTTAAAGTTAGGACCTTAACACGCGATTGAGTATTCACGTGTTCTTCGCCGTCTTTTTTGTTGCGTGACTTTAAAGTGGACATGAGCTGAGAGTGTGTTCAGTTTCTTTACGGGGATCAGTTCTGTTTTGCTGATTGCTCGAATGTTAATGGCATTTTATAAAACTTTGCAGCCCGTGAGAAGCTTTCTATTTTGGGGGCTTTCTTGTTAACGTCATTAGGAACGTTGCCATGGGGACAGGGTACAAGTCAGTTTAACGCGAAACTCTCGCCAGTCCAAGGTCACCGGTATTAAAAAAGTCCTTAGTCTCCACTAAACCTTGAGAAAACCTGTGGAGTTTTATTTTAACAACTTTACGAGTTAGCGGTTTTTCTTAACAATCTACAGCAATAACCAGCCAAGGAACTGGAAAAAAATTCCATTGTTATTACGGGGGTGTGGGGCAGGAGCCGATTGCCCGGCTTCTCGCCTCGGCAGGGGGGCCGGGGCAAGGGGGCCTGAATCCCGCCTGATGTGTCGGGGACCTGTCTCATATATTTCTCCATAACTTTGGTTGAAGTACGAATACAGGGCGTCACCGAATCGTTTGCGTTTACAGTAATATTTGCAGACAGCAATTTGGATTGGGTTCATTTTTGAAGTTTTTATGATACTTGCCTGCTTGTCAACAAATTCAAAGGATTTTTCTTGGCTTTGAGGTTATCACAGTTCGAATCAGAAACCAAAGCGATTACGTTGTTCCCTTAGAAAATCAATTCTTATAGGGTCTGTTCTATCTCTCCGTTTATATGATTAAACTAACATGAAACTAAAATGGGCAAGTAACTGAACACTTTCTTAATAATCTTAAACTATCTGACACAATACGTTATTAAATCTGAGAGTGGCCAAAAACAAACGTGACGAAATGTAATCTGAACTTGGCTATCTTTAAGTATGACGCCATGAACGTCATTCCTCTTGAGTATATTGCTACATAATCCACTTAAATAATTTCATAATTTTATGTTTTAAATAGTATGTTTCACTTGGAGAAAGCCAGTTTGGATGGCCAAAGTATTGTGAAAATTTAATATATTTCTGCAGCATTTTTTGCCTCTGCTTGAGAATGCTCGTGGAAATGTGCTTTTATCTGTTTCTCATTTGTCCCTGTGCATTATGCTCTTTTCTGGAAAGGTCTAATTGAAATCGTGACCGTTTCAACCGTTGCGCAATCATTACCTCGAAAACATTGCGCAAGTCTGATTTTCAGTGAGCGTGACCAAGTCTAAATTTAGCATCTCCACCCAACTGACCTGATATCAAGCATGGTCATAAACAAACCACAACCGACGATGCGTCAGTTCAAAAGATGCATCAAAACAGCAGTGGATAAAGGTCTTACAAATTAATCAGTAATCATCTGAGTGGATCTAACTGTACCTGGAGCCGATTACTTAATCGACTCCTGACTGTACATATTTTTATTTGGGAAAAAATGTTTAAAGAGATGCTGTGGCCTCTAATGATCGGCAAACTGCGCTGTCTCTCAAGGGCATTTTTTTAACGTTCCCACAGGAGTTATTCCTTCAAAAAATATTTCCAAAATGATGAAAATCACCTCCTTTGTGTTATTATTTGCATATCCTTGCTCTGGACAAAGATGGAGGAAACTGGAAATTACTCTTGTATGGCATATTGCAGCTAAAAAATGCTACTAGCTGACCATGAAGCACTGGTTAACAGAAGCTCAGCCCGCTCGCGGTAAGTGTTACTGAAACCGCTGTCAGTAATAAGGCCTTTGCTTAAGGCAGTCACCCTTTTGATGAGGCTAGAGGTCCTGTTCACAAGCTGGCGAGGACGTAGCCCTTACCTCTGCTGTCGGGAAACCCCTTGAACCAAGCGAAAGCTGACTGAACCACGGGTAGGTTCATCTTCCAAACACTAATAATCGAAACAGAGAAAGCTTGGTGTAATTATCAGAATAGTTACCTACATCATTCGGACAAGGGGGTTATCTTATTGGGAAATTACTTTGCCTATTCATGACCAGTCATCGTCATTAGTCATTCTCTTTTGGCATCTTTGTGAAGGGTTCTTGATTGGGACGTTTGACTGCTAATCATTTTAGGGACAATTCTTGGTGCGACCCTCTTGCTGATCTTCTCCTATCTGTCAGTACAAAAAGTTGAATGAGTCTCAATGAACAACTTTTAAACGAAAGCTTGATCCGAAAGAAAACGAAAGCTACATCAGAACTTAATTATCAAAGAACGTATGTTGTCTTAAATCTCACAATATTGTGGCAAACCTACGAGTCAATGGTGTTACAAACATACATACTATAGAACTGTTTCACAGATACTATGACTTTGTCACATAATTTCAGCTAAAATATCGCACTCTGAACACAGGGAAGAAAGTTCTGCTTCGAACTTCAGATGCAGGAGACTGATACAAGCAAAAATCACCTGCTGTTTCTTTAAATATAACCTCAGGCTCTAGTAAACAGAAAGCCTTGAAGGAGTGTCTATGACTAGAGTTGGGCGTATAAAAGTGATAGTTTTTGACTTGGAGTTATTGCGTTAAGAACAGCCTCAGTGTGATTACAAATGGCAATGATAATGACCGATTATGATAATGGTAATAACTATGACAATGAAAGTGACAATGACAATGATAACTTGATGATGATGACAATGAAAATGACAATGACAATGACAATGACAATGATAATGACAATGAAAATGACAATGAAAATGACAATGACAATGACAATGATAATGACAATGACAATGACAATGACAATGATAATGACAATGTTAATGACAATGACAATGACAATGACAATGATAATGACGATGGCAATGGCAATGAAAATGACAATGATAATGACAATGACATGGATAGTGACAATGACAATGGCAATGATAGAGTGGTTTTCGTTTGAGTGTCGTAAAACCAAAACCAAAGTAATTACTCTGGCCAATCACATAGGACTCAGACAATACATTCAACCAATCAAAACTCGAAGTAATTACATGTGGCTAACGCAAAGCGCGGGAAAATGCATGCGAGCGCGTCACAATTGGCTTTGGTTTTACTTCTGATTGGGTGAAAAGGTGGCGCGAATCTTTTAAGCCAATCGCATCGTGTACAAAGTGCAAAATCAATTACTTTTCGACACTCAAATGAAAACTGCTCTAATGACAATGACAATGACAATGACAATGACAATGACAATGACAATGATAATGACAATGACAATGACAATGACAATGACAATGACAATGACAATGACAATGACAATGACAATGACAATGACAATGACAATGACAATGACAATGATAATGACAATGACAATGACAATGACAATGATAATGAAAATGACAATGACAATAACAATGACAATGACAATGACAATGATAATGACAATGTTAATGACAATGACAATGACAATGACAATGATAATGACAATGTTAATGACAATGACAATGACATTATAATGACAATGGCAATGGCAATGAAAATGACAATGATAATGACAATGACATGGATAGTGACAATGACAATGGCAATGACAATGACAATGATAATGACAATGTTAATGACAATGACAATGACAATGATAATGACAATGGCAATGGCAATGAAAATGACAATGATAATGACAATGACATGGATAGTGACAATGACAATGACAATGACAATGAGAATGGCAATGAAAATGACAATGATAATGACAATGACAATGACAATGATAATGACAATGACAATGACAATGACAATGATAATGGCAAAAATAATGACAATGATAATGACAATGACAATGATAATGTCAATGACAATGACAATGACAATGATAATGACAATGACAATGATAATGTCAATGACAATGACAATGACAATGACAATGACATGGATAGTGACAATGACAATGGCAATTAAAAAGACAATGACAATGGCAATTAAAAAGACAATGACAATGGCAATGACAATGACAATGGGAATAATAATGACAATGACAATGATAATGACAATGACAATGACAATGACAATGACAATGATAATGATAATGATAATGACAATGACAATGATAATGATAATGATAATGATAATGATAATGACAATGACAATGGCAATGAAAAAGACAATGATAATGACAATGACAATGACAATGATAATGTCGATGACAATGACAATGACAATGACAATGACAGTGACAATGACAATGATAATGGCAATGAAAAAGACAATGACAATGGCAATGACAATGACAATGGCAATAATAATGACAATGATAATGACAATGACAATGATAATGACAATGACAATGGCAATGAAAATGATAGTGATAATGACAATGACAATGGCAATGAAAATGATAATGATAATGTCAATGACAATGAAAATGACAATGATAATGACAATGACAATGACAATGACAATAAAAAAGACAATGATAATGACAATGGCAATGATAATGATAATGACAATGACAATGATAATGACAATGACAATGATAATGACAATGGCAATGAAAATGACAATGATAATGACAATGATAATGACAATAACAAGGATAATGACAATGACAATGATAATGACGATGGAAATGACAATGACAATGACAATGGCAATGATAATGATAGTGACAATGGCAATGAAAATGACAATGATAATGACAATGACAAGGACAATGACAATGACGATAACAATGGCAATGACAATGATAATGACAATGACAATGACAATGACAATGACAATGACAATGACAATGGCAATGAAAATGACAATGAGAATGTCAATCACAATAATAATGACAATGATAATGATAATGACAATGACAATGGCAATGAAAATGACAATGATCATGTCCATGACAATAATAATGACAATGATAATAACAATGAAAATGAGAATGTCAATGACAAAGATAATGACAAGGACAATGACAATGACAATGATATTGAAAATGACAATGATAATGTCAATAACAATGAAAATGGCAAGGATAATGACCATGATAATAATAATGACAATGACAATGACAATGACAATGACAATGACAATGATAATGACAATGATAATGTCAATGACAATGAAAATGACAATTACAATGATAATGACAATGAAAATAATGATCTTAATTTTTGCAGGATGTCATATACTAATACATAATATCTTATGTTACAAAGAGAGAAAATCGAGGTTAAAAAGGAATGAAAATAGATGCAAATTAAACTATATTAAGGAATTTAACAACCGATATTGTTTCATCGTAAAAACCTGCCTGTGATAAAAAAATCCAGTCTTTATTCCTGGCTTACCAATGCATCTTTCCCTAAAACTATGATCAGATTCTGTTGAATTTGGAAGTGTTGGATTGTTGAGGAGAGGCAAGAGCCTGGTGGGAGAGGATACAAAACAAAGTGCTCGAAGAAAAACATTTCGTATTAGAACGTGCCATTAGGGAGGGGAGGGGGGAAGCATGAAGGAGTGCTTTATTCACCACTACGCGCATACGCCACTCCTGATCCCTGATCCCCGTAAAAACGACTAGTTGCCAGACCTTTCCTCCTCTCCCTCTTCTATCAACAAAGTCCACAGGAAGCCCAGGCCACAAAGTGACACTGTTGCATTACCTTCGAAATATGGTGATTTGTATGGAAACAACGATAGTTTCTGATACCTAAAAACAACAAAGCGATAAATATAAGAAACGGCCTGCCTTACGTAGGTTGTATGTTGTAACTAGTCCCCTGAGATAGCAAACCGGTTCCATAACTGAAAGCTATTAAATAATCCTGAATTACCGCGAGGACTTAGGGACCACGCAAGAAAAAAGAAGCATACACGGAAAGTGAGATAAGGTGTTTCATATTTTAAAATCTTTCACAATTTTAGGTCACAGAAATAATCGTGTTTTGCCAAAAAACCCTCTTATATTTGGAAGGATACGCAAAAGTCCTAACACTCATATTTCTGATGGTGGTATACCTGTGCAAAACCGCCTTATGAGCATTTCTCTAGTGTCTCTTGTTTAAAGTAAAAAAAAATCACTTATAAACAGCAATGAATGTCGCGGCACTATGTCGGTTTCGATTAATCTTTATATGAAAATAACCTACTTTTAAACCTAGTAAATCAAAACTGAACAAACCAAGATTAACGCGGAAGGAAATTTGTAAGGAAAGAACCTTTCCTCGTTTCATTTTCTTTTTTCCAAGGGCATCGCTCAAAACGCCGGCTGGAAATTCGCATGTTACGCCGGGGACGTTTTGAAAAAGTTTCGAAAAAAAAAAGAATGGGCTCTAGAAACGGAAAAGCGGCTTTGTTGGAACTGATTAATTCTTGTGATGTTCAGGCAGCCGAAAACTGTCACGAACAGAAACCACACGGACCACTGATTTTAAGATTCTGTATTTATTATATAGTCTTTCAGCCCCTGAGATAATGCATTAGCGAAGTATGAAGCCATTTATTCGCAACAAGTACTTTCTTTCGTTGCCATTAAGAGGATAAACAAGCAGTGGGAGAAAGATCATAAAAGAGGAAAGGAATTTAACATTTTTGCTCTTGAAAAGGGTTTGAAAATAAAACAATATTTTCTGTCCTGAAGTCACACGTGCTCGATGGAGACGTTTTGTCTGAAGCAAGAAGGCTAGGGGGTCATGGATCGATTCAGTAATTGACGTCATTTCTGTGAAACGCTATTGGTTACTGGTGGTTGAGTGGCAGCTGTCTTTGTTGAAGCATTTCATCAGTGCCAAATAACGTGACAAAAGCTCTTACTTCTGCTATAAAAAAACTGATTATTATTCACATCACGTTCGCACTCTGGCATTCCAAGAATAAAGGGAAGTTGTTTACCAACTATGCATAATCAATTAACCCCGACTGATATGTTTTCAGTTTTCAGTTTCTAGTTATACTGAAACACAAGGTTATTTTGAGCTCTTGACGATGGTTTTATACAAAAATGGGAACCATTGATTAAATGAAGCCAAGCCGTTTGATGCATTAAATATTCCGCGGGAAAGCTTACTGGGAATTTGCACTCTTTTTTTCATTAAGAATACGGGGTGAATAATACATTAAAAACAATTCTTAGAACGAAACAATAGAAGGAGTTTTGTTTTTGATGTTTCTCAGAAGAATGCTGTTGAATATATTACCGAGAAATTGATTAATCTCTCCAAGAAAATAACAAAAACATGCCTTCAGGAAAAAGTAAACTTCAATATTCCCTTTAGTTTGTGATTGGTTAGTTTGGCTCTGGTATTTCCCCCGCACCCAGAAACGTCAAATATCTGTCAAGTACTTTGTAGGCCAAAAAAAGACTTATTACGTATTGCTTTATCTGAACCAATCACAAACCGAGAAAATACAACACATATTCTCGTCGTTGCTTCAATTTTGTCATTCTGCTTTCTGGTTTGTTCGAGTATCGACTTCGCGGCTTTGTGTTCAACGAGACCAATTCTTTTTTTTGTTACCAAACAGCAAAATTTTACCGAGATCTTCATTAATTTGACGTTGAAGGTAAGCTAGGGTTCTAGAACTTGAAATCAGCTCAATTCTGTGCTTTTATGCGCGCTGTTGTTCAGCGGAAGATGTAGGTACAGAGTTCCGCGTTGGTGTAGTAGTTCGCGGAATCTTCACAGCACATTTCTAAGACTTGACGAAACGTTTCTTTTTTCCTTTTAGAAGAGATAAAAAGAAAAGATGGAAAACATGATGAACGTTGAAAATTTTGATTTGCTACAGAAAGTGGAGGTAAGAACGTAAAACACGCGACTCAGCTCGTTTCAGCGCTCTTTTTAGCTTAATAAAACCCTGTTCACACCAAAGGGGAGAAAATTGTGAACTTATTCTCGCTGCCTGTTCTTTCGTTCAATCGTTACCGTTGAATGTGAGTTAATTTACAAAGTGATATCCGAAGTCTCGAACTTCCTTAAAGATGCGACGCATTCATGAACTAAGCTTATGGTTTTGTTGATCAGTTAAGAGCTAACACGTTTTGTTGATTTCTGTTCAGACCTTCAACAATCTCTTCCATGGTTTCCCGGCTGTTTTCCCTAGGATGAGCGATCTTGCGCTGTTGAACGGGATGTTTCATGCGGCAAAGCAGCCATTAGTACCCGAAGGGACTCCTGTTCCTGGTTTTGAACGCCCAACACTTCACCAAATGCCGTCTCAAGACATTGCATCAGGTAAAAAAAATCAGATTTTTTTTCGTTAACGTCTTCACTTATCTCGGTATCAAAACTTTCGCTCGCGAAAGCGGAAAAATTGACGCACTTTCATCTAACATGCTATGTTCGGTTTGTCTTGTTTCTCAGCTCTAGAATACACGGAGGGACGATCATTCATGGAAGATCTAAATGAAGCTCCAGAAACTATTGAAGAATTGTTTAATGGCAGGCCTCATCTCAGCTTTGATCAGAGCGGTACGTGTTGTTTGTTTCGTTTAATTTTCCGCTTTGGAAAAGCCCTTCAGCACCCCGCTGAGTTCTAGGAAAACCACGTTGTCATTATCAAAGCAATTATATTATGCTAATGTGGTTTCGAATCCCAATTATGGGCAGCTTGATTGACAATCTCTCTAGAGGTGATTAATTTTTGGGGGGTGTAAAGTACAAAATATCTTTTAGAACTCCTACACTTTCTCAAAACGTGTACAGGTCTTGTTTATGAGATGTTAATTTTTGGCAATTTCTTTTGCAGATATGGATAACTTTCCCGACCTATCTGTGTTTGATCAACTTCAAGAAGAGCATTCATTCCATGAACAGTACCCTTTGGCCCTACTGAACTTGAAGGAAGAAACAAAATCTCCCATGTCTTCTTGTGACTCTGTGTACAGTTATTCATCTGCAAGCCCTCCTCACAGCCCAGCTATCAGTGACATTAGTTCTCAAGCTTATAGCACAGATGAAGGAATTCAGAGTGACTTCAGTGATGTTGAAGGTTAGTTTTTAACCTTGTCTATACCCAGACTCCAAATTAATACCTCAAAAGTTCTTTAGTATGCATTATTTTGTTCTCTTAATATTAAATTTTATTGTTTTTTTTCTTTCAGAATTGCTTAGCCCAGTTGCTTCACCACTGTCTACATACAACGAAACAGAGAAGCAGCAAATAGTTGTGAAAACCGAACCAAGTGATGTCACAACCACCAAGACACAAAGAAGGAAGAGAGGACCCAAACCACCTGTGAAATATCGAGGTAGGAATGAAAACAGGAAGTTTTAAGCTTTTGGGTTACGAGGAGGTGGGGGGGGGGGGGGGGGGGGGGTGGGTGGGGGGGGCATTTTTTTAAAAACCTGTTTTTTCCAAAAAATTTTCTACAAAAAAAATGTTATTTTTAAAAAAAAAAAAAAAAAAGAAAAAAAAAGTGGTAGAAGAACCGAACACAAGGAAGTCACAACACAAAAAACAAAAAAAGGAAGAAGGGGGCCCAACCCCGTGGCGAAATTGCGGGGGGGGAAAGAAAAAGGGGGTTTTTTGTTTTTTGGGGGTGGGGGGGGGGGGGGGGGGGGGGGAGTTGTTGGTGTAGGCGGGCATATTTTTTCAACACCTGTTTTTCTCATAAATATTTCACAGAAATAAACTTGTTTTGTTGATTTCCTTTAGGTGATGGTCCGATCCAGCTATGGCAGTTTCTGTTGGAGCTGTTAATTGATCTAAGCTGTGGAAATCTGATCAAGTGGACCCAAGATGAGGACTATGAGTTTAAGATCCTTCAGCCCACCACAGTTGCAAAGATGTGGGGAAAGAAAAAGAATAAGCCTACTATGAACTATGAGAAGCTGAGCCGTGGCCTGAGGTACTATTATGGCAAGAATGTCATTGAGAAAGTACATGGCAAAAGATATGTTTACCAGTTCATGTGCGATATCAAAGGCATCCTTGGCTATGACCCGATGGTGAAGTGTGAAGAAGATTCTGGTGCAGAAGATGTGGTGTGTGGTGAACCAGTAATGTCGCCTGAAGTTGAAGACCTACTTGTTTCGTCTTCAGTTGGAGATGGCTTTTATGCAGGGCCACTTGATTTCAGTGCGCTTTGTGGTTACTAGTTCCCATGTTTTTTTTTGTCGATACCCAAAACGTTGTGTTTACTTCGGTAACGTTCGAGTAGCTTGTATCAAGCACGGCAGTTAGCCATTTTATGAATCATGTTGATTCGACTCCCCAAGTTAAAATTTTCATACTGTGTATGCATGCAAACAAACCAAGGTTAAAAGATTGATAGTTATCTCTGGGAAGTTACCTATCATGACTGTATATATCCCGTTTCAGTTTTTTCATAGTGTTTTTGTGTTTACTCCGAGAAGAATAATATAAAAGAATTTTCCTAAAGTAAAAAATAGTGTGCATTGTTTTTTTTTTTATAAAGGTTCAAGAAAAAAGTCATTATATTCAACATGGGGAAGTGATATGTGTTGCTTCTCCCTTTTTACCATTATTATGTAAAAGTTGCTTCAGAATGATTATGCTGAAAGGTTTGCAGAAATGGAAGCAGTATGTGTTGCTTCTTTCAAGAATATATTGTAAATTGAGAGTATATTGTAAATTGCGCTATCTAGTCATATTGATTTTAAATTTGCTCTTTTGCTACCAGGTAGCTCACACAGTACGTGCCAAAGTTGTAATAGTTTATCATGAAAGCTGTGAATTAAAACCATGCATTGAAAAAACCCATGAGTTTGTTTTTACTGGTTGTGTTAGATCATTTGTGGGAACTGATCCTTGTGTGAGAGAGTTGAAACTTAAAAAAAGGCCAACCAAAGAGGAAACCTACTTTGTGATTGAAATATGACCAGAGAGATTAAAAAGTATGAAAAAAAAGTGCCAACATTTTTCATTAAAGCAGAGAAAACTATGTTGGTGACTGGTACCCCTGGATAGCCCCAAAAACCTATTTATAGGTTGTCTGATGTGTGACCTCCTTTATAAGTTTTAGGAGTAACTTTTTCCAACCCCCTCAGCTGTGATAACTTGATAGACAAGGAAACAGCAATGTCAAATTCATCAGGTTTGGTAGCCAATGGCTTGAGCTTCTTGGTATTCTCTTTCTGGCTTACACGCATGCTAATGCTTTTTCATCCATATCTCCTGCCCTCAGCAAGCTTCATTGCCTGTTGTAGCACGACAAATTCACGAGGAATAGTGTGAAGAGTATGCAGGGATTTTCTTAGTACCCATCTCCTCCACCCCCTCTGGTCCGCTTGAACAACTCATCCCCTATTTTACCAGAATAAACAGAATAAAAATGCAGTAAACTCCCCTGCATATGCATCTTCGTAAGGGGTTTTAGCAGGACTTCGGGGGGGGGGGGGGGGGTTTTGGGGGGGAAAAAAAAAAGGCGAGCGGGGAAAAAACGGGTTTTTTTTTTGTTGTTTTTTTAACCGCATTTTTGTTTTTTTTCTTTTTAAAAATAAAGGGGAAAAAAAACAAGGAAAAATATAATAAAAAAACGTTTTTATTTTTGTTTGTAGGGGGGGGGGGGGGGGGGGGGGGGGGTCTTATGAGTGGAAAAGAAAAAGCGCAGCGCTGATAACATGCGTTTGTTATTTCTGATGTCTGTAACCGCAGTTTATGTGTTATTCCTTTTAAAACTAAGATGGACAAAAACCAAGAGCATATATGATCAAAATACGTTTTGTATTTACTGTTCTGGTTTTTTATTAAGCTTCAAAACTTCCGTTACATACATTTTTTTTGTGGGGAGGGGGGGAGGGGGCTTTTATCCGGGGTTCAATACATTTGGAGGGGGCTTCTATCCGTAGTTTATTTTTTTGTTCTGCAGGTCGACGGCCCTCGGCTGGCGGGGGGGCGGAGGGTGGGGGTCGGGGTGCTAAGAAGCGGAAGTTTTATACGTTTCAGTCGACGAGAGTAAATATATGGCTTCGGCTTGAACGACAGCTGCATGTGTCTTCAATGTCAACATCGATATATTCTAAGAGTCTTCATTTAATTATTATTCTTTTTAATTATAGGAACAGGAAGAAGTAGGAAATTGCTTCTCTGTTTTTTGGTTGTTTTTTTCTTATGAATACTAGGCGCATTTTATTGCAGTTTGAGACCGATTAATTACATGGACGTGGATTCTTTTCAGTTAGCTTTCTCCTAACTTGAGCAAATTTACTTTAGTTCTTAGAATTCATTTGAAATAGGACCTTACCCCCACCATCCATGTCAGTTTTTTGCACTATCTTCCAATCTCCATTCGCTTTTTGCTTCAACTATCCTCAGAACGAGGCTGAGTGAAAAGAGGAAGTTGGTGTGACGTCACATACAGTTTATTGCCAGGTGTAGCACGTTTTGCTCTTCTTGCTTCAAAAGTGGGAAGAAATCTCGCAAAAGGTACAAGAAAATTTCAATTTTGTGTCTGAGGCAAGTGGTACATTACACGAGCATTTCATTTTGTGGCGTTTGAAGCGATAACAACGATCGATTTGGGGGAGAATTTAAGGCAGCTTCCGGCGGAAAGATGAGTGAGGTAAGATCGAGTTCGGCGTCGGTTTCGTTGAACGGAAATTACCCTTTGCAGTACAAATTCTTCTTTCTCGAGCAAAATACGACAAGAAAAGTAATAAGTACTAATTCCTACGATATCTACGCAACGTTTCTTACCAGCTGTTGTGTTTTTACAGCGATCTTAAAACGATTTTTGGCATCAAAGGAAGTAAAGTTGTGAGTTTGATCATTCACGCTCAAAACAGGAAAGACGAGGTAAGCTTATCTTCCCGGGCGCCCAGTAAGCCAACATAAAGTTGCAGGTATTACATTCTCATAACTGTAACAAACCATACCCTTTTATTTAACTGGCTTACTTTTTTTCGCATTTATTTGTTTGCGTTTCGTTCTCCGCAAATACAAAAGGACTAAAGATAAACTGAGAAGACAGATCAAATCGAAGTTCGAAACGTGTTTATGGCGGGAAAGCTGTCGTCAACTGTCCATTTTTGTTCATTTATTAATACTGAAAGTATTGGTTTTGATTTTGTGTGTTACTTCAAAAAGTGAATACCGTTCATGAAAATCACACATCTAGCAAATTGTTCTCGTGGAAACATGCACGTTTCTGATCATAGTAACTAAGTACACAAAAGAAGGGGAGATGCGGTTTAATTTCCATCTCCACACGAGATGTCAACAGAAAAAAAGGTGGAAATATCACCTGTTTTCTACTGTTCATTGGTGATGTAAAAGTATATTCTATTTTCACCATGATTTTATACTCCCCCTGGTTTAGTGGATAACCCAGTCAGTGATCAGTGAAGATTGGATTTTATATGAATAATTTCAGACATAATGTTATTCATTTGACACCTGAAAAATATTTCATAAAACTGATTACCACTCTTCATTTGTCAGATGTATGGTAACCGGAGTCATCTTGCCTGAAGTTATGTCACCCAAAATTTTTAGTTGTCTCTTGAGATGCTGAGTTATTTTACCCGAATTTTAACAGGTGTACTACATAGAGAATGAAAGTGATAGGGATGTTTGGATGTTGTTGAGCACAATAACATTTTGGGCGACATCACTCAGCATTTTGGGTGACCTACATTTTCAGGGGTGTAGCCAGTCTTTTTCCAGAGGAACGCACAAGTTTTCAAATCCCTCTAGTCCCTTCTCACTTTACAGTAACGTAGTCATGCTTTTCATGCTTTTTTTTGCTGCTATTCACACTTTTTTGCACGTTTCTTCACTGACATTTGGGTGTTAAAAGGAAAAGGTCCATTGTTTTTGAAAAATGTATTTCAAAGAAACACATAGAGTTAGATGAATATTGAGGAATATTGTGCTTTTTAAATTTATTTACTTTCTTCAGATAATTGGCATTTTTATTTTATATTATTATATTTTTTAGTCTTGACTTTTTTAGGTACGGATGTGCGTACCTTGCGTACTGGTAGCTATGCCTTGGAGTCTGTAGCTAAAAATTTTGGGCATCAAAACTCTAGTTTCAGGCAACATAATTTTGAGTGAGATGACTCTCCGGCGACTTTACCATGAACCAGATGTACAACATGTACAGGGTATACGAATTAAGGTTATTTAACTATTATTCTTTGAGCCCAAATGGGCTCTGAGGCTATAGACCGTTAGGCTGAAGGTGGAATGGGCTATTAACTCAGAGGCCATGAGTTGTTATTGTTTTAGTAAAATCCAACTAGCTGGTCAAAAATATCAAGGCAGACAACTTTAGCTGGTTAAAGCTAGACTTAAAGCCATTGTTTTGGTTTTCATAGCCGGCACTTTTCACTGCTAGTGGGCTATAAAATATAGCCCAGTAGTAGCTAGACCAGTCAGAATGCAGCATTGATAATAGACCACTAGTTGGATTTTACTTAAGTCAATTACATTGCACTGAACTGGTAAAGAAGATTTCAATCAAGATGTTATGAAAATTGGTTTATACACGATCAGGCTGGGTATTGATTGTTGTTAAATATTGTTGTTGTTGTGGTTTGGTTGTGCATGAACACAATGTGAACAGAAAAAATTTGCAAAATTTCTGAAGCATTTCATCCCAGGAGACTAGCAACTGCTTTTTAAGCAGTTCAAAAATTGGACTAAGTGTGCATGAGATAGCTTGAAAGCATGGAAAGAGCTTTAATGTAGGCACTGGACTTATACTGTCAGATTTTTAAAATGTGAATTTATTCTGCAGATATTCCTTGCAGAAAAGTCTTGTTTTATAATAGATGCAGTGTTTTTTTTTACTTATTTTGCAGCAATTTATTACTGGCTATTGATATTTTGTGTTATACCCCTGTCAAGGTAGATTTTCAGTGATGACAGAATCTGGGAATGAATTGGTCCCTGAGGAAGGCCTTCAAGGGAACGTTGCTGTACCAGAGGGGGGTCCCCAGAGAAACTTATCGGTACAGTTACAGTGTCGTGCATCAAGTTCAGCTGAGGAAGTGAGAAAGCTTTTAGAAGAGAAACTAAACAGACATCTGGATGGTTATACACTGGTGTTTAATAACTCTGAGGTATAGAATGCCATTGATTTTAGTTTTGTTTTGAGGGGTAGTTCATATGCGGCACAAACACAAGTGGCAGCACGAAAAAATCAAGTGTGCAAACACATGCACAAGGGCCAATGTAAGAAATGCCATTGCTTTTGGCATTTGTGCTTGTATTTGCATTTCACATTCTTGAACTGAGACAAGACCAGTCAAGTCACAAGAGCAAGGTAAAAAATTTTCAGCAACTTTGGCCATGTTAGGTTGCCCGATGCATGCATACCTCATGCATTTGCATTAGCCATATGAACATATCTTGTGCTTGTACCATTGTCTTGTGTTTGTATTGCTTGTATTCGAACAGCAAGTGTCAGATCTTGATTTGTTATTGTCCAGTATGTGTATTGTCATCTTTTATTGTTTTCTTTTTGCTTTAAAAATAAATGTCCCATATGTGTAGATTTCCTGAAGATCAACTGAGACCATCAAAAAAATAAAATGTTTTTTTTTTTTTCATTTACACATAGCTGACAACTGTCCAGGATATTTTAAAGGTTCAGAGTCTTGTAGAGCAAGATTGTGATCAAATACTTACTGTTATCATCAATGGTGAGTTAATATTTAATACAAATTCTATATTAATTATAAGTGGCCCAGCTCTGTCATACTTCTAGCCCCTTGTAAAAAATGTGAAAACAAAGTTTGAATAGCCTTTAACTAGCAGCCTGTGTTTTGAATTTCCCTTTAACCTGATTCGCAAATAGACAGTGGCATTTTTGACAGGCTAATCATGATGTCTACTAAAATCCTGGTACCCAGCTGACTATGGCGGCCCAGAACAAGGATTTCGGCACTAGTTCGCCGACAGACTTTTCCAGAAGTTTAGTTTTACTTGTGGCACAGGCTAAACAGCAGTGTCTGAACCCTTTTGGTCCTAAGGGTGACCAACATGAATTTTCTCCTGACAACATCAGCAGATCATCAAGAGTAAAGGCTATGAGAATTACTAAATTAATGACCAAAGGGAGAATGCTTTGATCTTAAAGCAAATTCTCTCAACTATTCTTAAAAGAAATGTATCGAGATCATTCTGGAGAATTTGTATGTGAATCTTGGGGCTTAAATGGTTAAGACACGTTGACACATTGGAATCTACCTCTATTTTTCCACTGGCACCTGGACAACTAATGAAATTTGTTTCAAGTTTTTGAACGAGGGGTGCTCAGAGTAAAGCCCCATATTTTGATTTCTGATAAACCGTGAGATTCTCCTTTGACCTTCCAACTTGCCTTGGTATTATTTATTGCTTGTGAATCAAAGGTCAAACTTGACCTTAGAACAGGAGTCGCTTGGCGCCTTATTCCATGCGCCCTTATTTTGAAATGATAGATTAAATACCAGTTAGTAAACAAGTCTTGCTTGTAATGAAACTGTCCCTGCCTATACCTTACCATAATTATATTATACTTTTTTTCACCAGATGAGAATTTCAGGATAGAAATTACAAGTATTCAGGATCCCATGGAAGGTAGTGTTGCAAACGATGTTACTATGTGTTATTATTTTTCAAGTGGGGATCATTGTGAAAAACAAACTTCAAGAATAAAAGAGATTTATTGTATATGTAGTAGAAATGCTGCCATTGCCAGCTGAGGAGTCTGAAGTCAAAACAAACAGCAGTGAAGTCATGTCACCACCAGCACTAACAGATGAACCACCCAAAAAGAGACGGCGGTCTTCAGGATCAGGCAGCACCAAAGGTACTAAAATCAGGATGCGAGAATAGGTGATGATGATGATGATGATGGGTAGGGCAAGTGAAGGATCAAAGCTATTGTACTCGTCGCTACAAAACACTAGTATTGTTGTGTTACCCCATCTTCAATACTGAGACTTTTTATTACTCTTTTAAAAAAAATCTGGGATGCAACATTTGGGAAGGATATAGGAAAGGAGATAGAGAAGTGGGCTGAGATACTCTTGTATATAGTGTTTCAACAATTCAACTTGTGAAATAGCTACAAATTTAGAGTTTCTAATGTATTTTTAGTTATTCCACAACACAACCTTTTTTAAGTCACAAGGTAGCATTAGCAAGAGACTCTTGCAGAAGCATGTACCAACTGTATGTCATAAGTTTACTGGATCATATTTCTATAGAAATTATCCAAAGTTCAAAGATCTGAAATACTTGAGAGTATTAATTTTATTGGGAATACTGCTATGGCCTTTGGTTTATTTATCTCAGATTTCATCTCCCCTTACCCCCCACCCCCCTCCTGTACTATTTTGCAGTTCATTAACGTATGAGAAATAATTGTGGTGTGCAAGTGGTTTTCTTAATCTAAAAGATGTTATTTGGAAGGGAGAGATTCCACCAGTATGTTTATTCAGTATCTGTAGAAGAGTTTTTGTCAGATTTTAACCTTGGTTGATTCTCCTTTTCCTTTGTCTCCTAACCCAAATTATTCTTGAATTATGGCTAGGAGAGAAATGAAATTGAGAATCAATCTAGGTTAAGAATTAACCTTAATGATAGTTTTTGACCCACAGTACTCAGGGGTGGATCCAGGATTTTACATGAGTGATTTGCACCAACTAAACTAAGGGGGTTTGAAGGCATGCTCCCCCAAGAAAATTTGAAATTTAGTGCTCTCAAACTGCCNAAGAGACTCTTGCAGAAGCATGTACCAACTGTATGTCATAAGTTTACTGGATCATATTTCTATAGAAATTATCCAAAGTTCAAAGATCTGAAATACTTGAGAGTATTAATTTTATTGGGAATACTGCTATGACCTTTGGTTTATTTATCTCAGATTTCACCACCCCCGCCCTGTACTATTTTGCAGTTCATTAATGTATGAGAAATAATTATGGTGTGCAAGTCGTTTTCTTAATCTAAAAAATGTTATTTGGAAGGGAGAGATTCCATCAGTATGTTTATTCAGTATCTGTAGAAGAGTTTTTGTCAGATTTTAACCTTGGTTGATTCTCCTTTTCCTTTGTCTCCTAACCCAAATTATTCTTGAATTATGGCCAGGAGAGAAATGAAATTGAGATTCAATCTAGAAATTAACCTTAATGATAGTTTTTGACCTACAGTACTACATAGGTGTGATAATAACATTGATCGTCGATAAAAATGAAATTATTGTAAATGAAAACAATATTATTGTAATGAAATGTTTCAGGTGCCAGCAGCAGTAAGTCTTCTTTACCAGCTCCAGGATCCCAACAAGTGGCAGTTATCACTGAAAGTGAGCGAAACAACTTTTGTTTTGGCTTGTTATATGGATAGATAAGGATAAAGATGGGTGTTATTTCAAATGTTTAAGATTTGAAGATGCCATTCTGAAAAATAGTAATTGTTAGATGTTTCAAGGATTACATGTGATATAGGTACAGTTAGACCCTGTATGTTTTTACTGTTGTAGGTAGCTCTCAAGGACAGCAGATTTCTGTGATAAAAAATGGTAGGTATAAATAAAAACTTAATTTCCTTCTGCCTGGTAATCTTAGCCTATATACTGGTTTGATTTATTTTTGTTAGTTTCATATGTGTAAACTTGAGAAACTGAAGTAGCATGTTGCAAAAAATTCACAATGAACATCAAATTTTGATGCAGTTTATCTTCAAGGTGTTTCTTTGTTCATGGTAAACTTATTACGACATACTCAATATCTTTACATGCGCTTTGCCCATTGTATGATGTTTTGTATCCACATTCAAATATTAACTTAAATGTCAGTCTAGGCAATGGAAGTGAAGACGTTTTGCAACAATTTTTTGACTTTTATACCTCTTTAAATATGTTTGGTTTCTTCTCATGGTACAGGTTTTGAAAGTTCTGCTTCAAAAGATGACTCGACTCTGATGGACATAACTCAGTCTCCCTCAGGATTCTCCTTAAAAGGTCAGTTTCCACAAAAAAAAATGATGAGAAAAATATCGTATTTTTCTACTCTTATTTGAAGGGTACAGATCTGGCTTTTTGTGGTGTATTTGGTGGCCTTTTTTTGTCTGCTACCTCTGAGAAAAGGTAACCAAAGACATTTTTAAAGCAGGGTTCGCACGCACCTTGAAAGTCCTTGAAAATTGTAGTCGGTGATGGAAAGTCCTTGAATTACAATGCTAACTTTATAGTTTAAGTAGAACTCCAAAGAGAAAGGAGCAAACACAGAGACCTTCGCAACAAAATTGCTCATGTTGTGGAAGAGCTAAGAAAGACATAGACTCAAGGCTCTTTTTTTGCACAAAATGGAGTCCTTGAAAAATGGGAAATGTGTACCTGAAAGTTCTTGAAAAGTCCTTGAATTTTTTTTTAAAAAAGGGTACAAACCCTGTTAAGGCTACTTTTTAACTTTTTGCTGGTTTACTTGACACAGGTTTGGCTGGTATAACATCTGAACAGCAAACAGTAATTCTGAATGCATCCCCACAGAACAGTCCTGGAGAAGTGAAGTCTCCTACTGCTGCTGGTAAGGTGTTTTGGTTATTTAAAGATTTATTAGCTGTACATTTCTGGCCTTGAGGATGACTTCTTGAACTTTTGCATAATTTACAGATGTTGTTAGTGGGGACGATGAAGAGAAGAGCAAGAGTATGGATGGAAAACCGACTCCTGGAAATAGATCAGGTAGAAAGAAAAACCTTTCAATAATAATAATAATAATAATAATAATAATATGCTATAAAAAATTGCGTTAAAACATTTCTTAAAAACATTTGAGCAAGTTTTAAAAAAGTTAAAAAATATACGATGTTCTTGGATGTCATTATCAAGTAAAAAAATACAGTATGAATGTTCTATAAATACAAGAAAAACAATAGTTCATTAAAAAGGAAAGTAAGAAAAAAAAGAGTTTAGCACTGGTGGACTCAGAGTGACATGATTTGCTTGGTCATTTGGGTTGTAAGGGTACGCTGTAAATCACAGAGGCTACTTTTTCTTGATATGTTTCAGTGAGTTATTTCTTAATGGCAGAGAATAAACAGCAGACTCTCTGCAGCTGCTGGTGGACAGTGGGGGTGGGGGTGGGGGGTAGGGTTAGGCATTTATGCCACTGCACTCCTGTTTTAGTTATAACATACATCTGTTGATTCATTCCTTTTTTGATTCATGCCTAGGTAACAATGGCCAAATCCAGTTATGGCAGTTTTTGTTGGAGTTATTAACAGACAAAAGCAGTCGTCACCTAATAATGTGGGTGGGAGAGAATGGTGAATTTAAACTTAATGATCCAGAACAAGTGGCTCAGCAATGGGGAAGAAGGAAAAACAAACCTGCTATGAATTACGAGAAGCTGAGCAGAGCACTGAGATATTACTATGATGGTGACATGATACACAAAGTGCATGGAAAGAGGTTTGTTGAGAAATTAAGCAGTGCAGAAACTCAAAATTGAAGAAAAATCCCATGATATTTAATAACAAGATGCTAAAAACAAGGAGCACCATGGAAAAGTGCTGATGAAAAGTTATAGCCACTTTATACAGAGTAATAATCATTAGTATGACAAACTACGGATTATTTCATCCCTAAAGTCACCAACACCTTGTACAGCGTAATAAAGAGTACCATATGAAAGTTCTGCTCAGCAGCTTTCATTTGAATAGTTACATTTCAGTACATTGTATTTCATCCCCAAAGTCAACCACCTTGTACAACATAATAAATAGCACCAAAGGAATGTACTGCTCAGCAGCTTTCATTTCAGTGGTCTCACAATAGGATTTCTTCCACAGATTCAAAAGCTACAACCTCATTGTACAACATATGTTATAATAAACATTATTAAAAACTGAATCATTGGATAATGCAATTCTAGAGCTCTGATTGGTTTAGCCATCATGGTATATGAGCCACTATACCATGCTCTCCACATATGGTAACTGTACGCATCTGCTCAAATTAAATACAAGCTGAAAATTGATTGTTTTTACAAATAACGTTGGGAAGAATTCTCGATATTTTGTGGACGTTATTAATAAAACAATTTATTATTCCACGCGCGCTTGTTGGATATGAGATGATTATAGCCAACTCATATCCAACGCGCAGTTGTGGAATAATTATTGTTAAGAACTATAGGGAAGTGCTGCTACGGTCATACACAGGTATGAAACAGACAGCTTCACTGATAATGCTGTCAGTGTATCTAATAATATCCTTATCTGAAAGAAAGCTTGTTTGTTTTAGGTTTGTGTACAAGTTTGTGTGTGACCTGAAAAACTTGTTGGGATACAGTGCAGGCGAACTTAGTAGACTTGTGTTGGAAGCGGAGGAAACAGCCAATGAACTGGAGCCTGGGACCAATGGTGGACATTAGCTTGTTTATTGTTTGTGTAAAGAGGTTAACTGTAAATAGTAATATTGTAACACGTCTTATACTGTGTTTATTTTCCATCCTTGGAAATTATGTATTGTAAGCCACAACGACAATCTTGTTTTATTTCCCTTTGGCCACAGTCAAATGTCTCCACATTCACAACCCTGTGTAAGTGTGTTGTAGGTAGGAGGCCATTGTAAAAACAAGAGTCAGTTGCTGGTAGTACTTTAAGCTCCTACATTCACATACAAAATAATTCTCATGACTGACCTCCTTAAAGAATTAGTCGGGAGAATTTGTTTAACAATCAAAGCAGAATTATTCCTTTAGGTGATCATTGTATTAATTCTCAGAACCTTTTGTTTTGACTGTGCAGTGATATTGTTAGGAGAAAACTGATGTTAATCACTCTTGGGGCTTAAAGGGGTAATGCATTTTCTTGGACAAAAAAGTGCGGCAGTTGTGGACAGGTCTTCTTTGTAGAGAAGTGACCATAGCTAACCTAGCAATAGACATCTTTGTAAAGCCTTTAATTTTGTCTTTTTGTCAAACTATCCTTTCACTTTCTCCTAAAATAAAAATGGGGTAGAAGAGGACGTTAGTGGCACCTTAATTAGCACATTTTTAGTCATAATACTGTCATGCAATGCCTCTCATGTCTTGTATGACAATTTGTGATGTCCAGCCAGGATGCCTATTCTGAAAACCTTAGGTAACACCATATTTTGTGTCATGATTTGCCGTTTCTAACCCAGTTAGACACCTCACTTAATGTCTCATGATGCATTTTATGGTTTCTGCAAACAATCATGCATCTCAGACCTTTCTTTAGGACTTAGCAAATGCCTTTTTTTTAATATTTACGTGAGCTTAGCATCTAGGCAAAGTTTCAGACCTAAGAGTGAATTTTTGTGGTATTTAAATAGTCACAGTGGCAGAAAAAAATGTTTTATAAAATGTACTGCAATTCAGTATTCTTGAAAGAATTAAAGCAAAAACAAATTAATTTTTTTTAGATGGTTAGAGTTCTACTCATTATGGTCACTTAAGTGTTACTGTGTAAACCAAATAATGCCCAGCAATCTAGCGTGAATTGTGTGCTGTAATATCGATAAGTTATTCTTAAATTCTATTATTTTAAATGTACATAAAAAGTTGTCCAATAGAGAATAAAAATTATACCTATACTACAAATACCTAGAAATTTTATTCTTTCTCCCTCTACTATCTCACCCATTGTTTTCCTTTTTTTCGCGTTAACACAACGTGATGCTTGCAAGCGCATTCCTTAATATCAAACTGGTTTAATATCCAGAATTTTGAGGATAACGACATCAAAGAATGGTTCTTTATTCACATTTTTTTAAAATATTGACTACAATGTTTTGTACATCTGTACGTAGAAACTAACCTTGTTTTTATACTGCACATCCAGTGATTTTCGTTGTACATTGCCATTAAACCTTATCAGATCATATTACGTTTAATATTTTTGAAGGTCTACATCATTAATACAACGTCTGTTTTCTCTAATATGAACTTCCATCACAACCCTGGAATATACGTTCAAAACTAAGCGAAATAAATATAATCCTTACTTTTTAAAATAGTTGGTTTCTCCTGTATTTGTTCCCATTTTTTCAAATTCATTTTCGAAACTTTTCCGCCACAAGTTGAATTTTTTTCCCGATATATCGCTTGTATTTTCTTCAGCGACAGAACTGGATGCCAGCCTTAGAGTTCCTTAGACGGGTAGCGTCCAAAGCACGCTCTCCCCAATCCCCCTCGATGTTTTGACACTTCTTCCAGGCTCCGCACACTCGTTACCCTATCAGTAAATTCCTTCGAGTGTTTGTTCATGACACGGCCAACAGAAGGGAAACCTGAAAGAGAAAAACGTAAGTTGGTTCACATGGTTTTTTTTAACAGTAGCCATATCTTACAGCAGTGTACATATACGCTTGGCTGTCACATAATGCAGTGGGGCTAATTCTGACTTAGGTGACGGCAACGACTGCGAAAACGTCACTTGGAAAATGAATTCGCGCTGTTTCAAACTTTACTACTCTTGTTCAATTTCATAAAATTTGTTTACTGTTGGGTTTTTTTTTCTGCAGTTAATTCTAAAGTACTGTATCTAAGTTGAGAAAAAGGAAAAGAAAATTGTCGTCATGTTTTAACGTCTTCTATAAAATGCAAAACTAGGATGTTTCACGTCGTGTTCGTGCAACAACAGCAAAGAAATGTACAAAAAAGCATGATGCACGTGCGAAGTTGTTGTTTTGTTAATCTAAACCTATTGCTTTTTTGTCGTTCTCGCTAGCGTCGCCATTGTCGTTGCTTAAAAGCTCCATATTGGTTGAATCTGGGACGAAAAAAGCGTCACTTTCCCCTCCCAGAAAACTTCACAGTGTAACTATCACAAACAGCTATAAAACATACTTGCTGAATAGATGGACATCCGATTATTTGCTGATCTTCAACTGAGTATGTTTCCATCACCATATCATTCATCTGTTTGTAATAATCTTGAACTTTGGCCTGTAAAACAGAAATCCAGTTGTCAAGTATGTTCGTTTCTCTTAGAAAGTGTCCGGCTTATCTGTTTAACGTAGTCATTCCAGTGTCCTTATGATTCCAGTGGTGCATAGCCA